ATTAAAAAATTAGAGGGTTATTACCCTTACCGGTCTCCCCTCTCTCAACCTTTATATATAATATATATACACACACACACATAGTACTTGACCGGAAGAAGTTGGCAAGGTTTTTGTTTTTTGTTTTGGGCCCGCGAAAGTTGATAAGTGTTAAGAAACAAGCAAGGGCCCACAACATGGCGAACAAAAAAGAGGAAATAAAGTGAATCATAATGACAAGAGACAAGAGAAACAGAAACAGCTGGAGAAGTAGAATGTTTTTGTGGTTTTGCAGTGCCACGCTGATAAAAATTAATTTTTAGATTTAATTTTTTTTAAAATTGAGATTGATAAATTTATATGAAGTTTTTCATTTGAAGAGAAAGAACATTTTATATTTTATAAAAAATAATAAAATGAGTGAAAATATTCAAAAAAATTCATGTAAATTTACCAATCTAAATTTCAGAGAATTTAAATCCTTTACTTTTAAATATGGGATTTAGATGTAATTCTCTGAATCGATATTTGTTTGGGATACCACTAAATTTCAAAATTCAAATTATCTGTCATTTTGCTTCAGCTCTCAAATTATACAAAAGCCTACACAAAAAAATAATCAACCAAAAAAAAAACAGGAGTGGTATTAATTCATCCATAGTTTTTAAATTGATAATGTTGGCAGCGGCCGTCAAGATCCGATTCAACATGGCAATGTTGCTAATAACATATGTAAGACACTTAGCCAGGTTTTTAGTACTGTTGTGCCGGGGCTACTTTGAAAAATAAACAAGAAATCTTTTTAGGTGAGGTTGAAAATAGATTGAATCGAATTAGGCTTTAATCAAATAGGTTTAAGGTTGTGTAATAAATTAGAGGCTTGAGTTTCGGCTAAAGTCTGTGTAAGGCTTTTTTTATAACTCAATTTTGAACCTACATAAAACTTAACCTAACCTAAAAGCCTACTTAAAGTAGAGTTTTTTAAATAAGCTTGCATTTTAGTTTTAAACATTTCAAATATACTTTAGGACTTTTACAATATATAATATATAACTTGATTTATCAATTACAGTATATAAGAATTGAAAGGACTTATCAACTATAATACAATGTAACAATAAAATAATAACATTAAAATTAATATATAAGTCTAATATAATTAAAAATATAACTAGAAGTAATAAAGAATAAATTAATTAAAAATCATATGATGAAATTGATGTGTTTGTAATATAGTATATAATATATATATATATATTGACAGGCTTGTTAGATTCGTAAGTTAAGCCTTGAAAAAATAAGTTTAGCCTATTTAACTAAATAGGTTTAATTAAATGTTTGAGTTTGGCTTAAGCTTATTTAATAAGTAGATTAGGCTAGGTCTAAAATAGGCCAGGCTATAAGCCCCTATTAAAAGCTCAGCTTATTCCCACTCCTATTTTTAGGTGAGCTTGACATCAATGTTAAAAAAATTGGATTAGTCGTTAAATTAGGTTGACTCATAAATGAATCGATCCATTTAAAATAATATATGCTTAAAAGAAAAGAAAAGATCCATTAATATTTCATCATTTAAATCCAAAATATATATACTTATTTTATAATTTATAATTTTAAATGTATACACACACACATATTATACATATTCCTTGCATTTTTATTCATTTTTCTTCATTTATTAATGCTTATTGCATATAAATATATATAAATTTACCCGGTTTCACTAATTTGCTCGATGGTTCTGCCAATTTTGATTGGATCAATATTGGCTCTCAAAATAAGTGATTTTTTATTATAACCACATCGATCTTAGGATTAATTTTTAATTCAACTGGTCAAACCGGCTTGTTCCAATCTGATTTTGACAATGCAGTTTGACACTATATCTCAACTTAAAATTTTAAAGTAGCTAATTTATAGATGTTTCTAATTATATTTCTCTTCTTTAATGTGAGATTTCCTTATTACAATTAAATAAGAATTCAATAAACAAAAACAATTAACTGTAGATATTAGTTGCGCGCGCGCGCGCGCGTTTGTATGTATGTATATCTCTCTCTCGACATATAGATCATGAAGTTCAGCAGCCTCTGTTCCTTCCGCTGGAACAACTGTACTCTTTGGCGTCATGTTTGCATTATGGAATGCATTATTTTAAGGGAGAATGACAATATGAAGTCTTAAAAAATAAGTTTTTTATAAAAAATTTTATAAAATAAATTATAAATATTAATTTAAATAATTATAATTATGATTTTAAATTGAAAATTAATTATTATATTTAAAATTTAAATATATTATTTGCAATTATAACTTTCAAGTTTGCAATTATTTGAATTGAAAAATTTGTGGGGATTTAATTATCATTAATTTACTCTTTTGAACTTAACTATCATTCTTCTTTATTTTAATACAAGGATATGATGATGACAAGATTAAAACAAATTAAGAAGGAAGATTAGTCAGATAGCATTAACTCAAATAAAAATATTTAATATAAATTAAGAAAAATTAAGATGATGGTATCCATGGAAGAAGCAGTTTGATCGGGAAATGTTGTGAAAGAGAGGTGGTGGCATTAATTTGTTTTATTTTTTAAAGATTAAATTGATTTTTCACACGTGTTTAGTTCATTGTTTTGCATTGGTTATATGTGCCTGACATTTCACACCAGTCAAGGTGTAAAAAGTCAATTGGATGAGTTTTTTAATAGTGTTTAATGATATATACAAATATTTATTCCTTCTCTTATTCCACAATTTTTAAAGTTTCAAACTTTAATGGTAGTGATTTAGTAAATTATAAGGTTAAAAAGAAAAAATATTCACAGACTTTTTTTTCATGAGCAGCGAGTATTTATTTTTAAGTAAAAGATGATACAAAAGTATTCACAATATTAATGAAATGAGTGTAAAAATGTCCAAGTAGTTAAATTTAACTAACATTTATTAACGTTAACCATTTAAAAAAAAAAGCAAACATAATAAGGTGCAAAAACACTAATAAACTCTTTTTTTAGGAGCTTTTGGTATCTTAAAGTTAATAATGATACATGGTTATTCATTAATTTTATAAAATATGTTAACATTTTTTAATCCATTAAATTCTACTCTTAGAACTTCACAAATAACATCAAGTTACTTCTGTGATTCTATTTATAAAGTGGGGAGAGAAGATTAATTTTGATCTTATTTATAGGCACTTCAATATTTTTTATGTTCATCTTTTGTCTTTTATGCCCTTATTAAATGTTAGAAAAAATTATTATAAAATAGTTCTTTTTATCCTTATTAGGGGTAGAGGTAAAAACTTATTAAGTTTTAAAATATAATTAATGATGTTTAAAGTTTTCTCTAGTTTTGGTGAAATATGTTGAATGAGACTTATAAATAAAATATTAAAAGTGACTTATAAATAAAATATGAGGTAGTATTTTAACGAATTGAAAAAGGTTAGATTTAATAATTTGAGTCAAGCTTGACGTGCTAGAAAAATCTTAATACCAGGCTTGAAAATTTAAAAAAATTTCTTTATTTTGAGCTAATTTGGCCTCTTGAATAAGCTCGAGAAAATTCAAATTAAGCCCAAACTCGAATGGGCTTATTGAATACCTTAATTCATTTTTATTATTAATAAAATAAAATTAAAATTAAATAAAAATTGAAAAATATTTATTTCTAAGATAAAAATTGAAATTGATTGAAATAAAATAAAATAATATTTTAGAATTTGGGTAATTCAGCTAGCTCGAATCAGCCTAAACACCCAAGTTTTTATGGACAAACTTGGCTATATGACTTTTTTTTATAAAGATAATTGATGCACATACACTGTTGTTAACTTAAAGATACTAAAAACTTATAAATAAAAATTTTATAGGTATTTTTACACTTTATATTTATTTCTTTTTTTTAAACAGTTAAGGTTAATGAATGTTAGTCAAATTTAATTGTTTATATACTTTTGCACCAACTTCATTAACATTATAAGCACTCTTATACCGTCCTTCATTTAATAATATTGAGTGTCCTTAAAAAAATGTGTGAATATTTTTATTCTTTAACCTGAAATTTTAAATACTGACTCAAAAGTCTTATGTTAGGATATGAATACTTTCATAACTTGAAGTTTAAAAATTAGTTGTTTATATCAAGATATAAAAAAAAAAAGGAAATAAAGGAGAGGAAAAAACACTATAGGTTAACCAAGATAGTAGCGGGGATTGATACCATGCCACCATGTTTATTCTTTTTGTGCCATATGAGTCTATTTTTTTGAAAAAAAAAACAAATTGCCTATAAACTAATCCTTCTTAAAAGGGAGACTCACATATGCATGCTTATAAGTATGTCAACATCAACTTCAAATCTAGAACTTCTTTTAAATAAGAGAGGTGGCACTGCTATTGAGAGGCTAGGACAACTAACTATTAACACAAGTTTTTTTTTTTTTTGACCAGTAACATGAGTCTATTTAAAATACGAACATCTTTGATATATATAATCATCTGATATTTTGGTAAATTGCAAAAAAAAAAAAAAGAAGGACTGGAAAAAGCAAGGTAAAGGTTGGTTGGTTTTGAATGGATTGATCAAGTTCAAAAGGATAATAAAGACACAAATAGTGTGATAAATAATTAAGGGTGGGATACTTGTTGGGCCCAAAAGTATAATCAAGAACAAACAATGTAATTAAGTAGGGAATACCCGTTGGGCCCTGGAACATCATGAAAGAGAGGGGTCCCCTTTTAGCTATAATGACAATTGTGTGTGTGTGTAATTAAGTTTATTGGACATGACATCTTAATCTAAAATTTTAACATATATATTGAATCCATGAGTCATTCTATTTAAATTAAAAAACATAGTTGATTTGCTTTAAACAAGGTTAAAGTTCAAACCTTTATGAATAGAAAAAAAAATATTTATCTTAGGAAAGTTATCCAAATTGAATCTGATATTAACATTAAATATAAGATAATTGTATGTATAGAAAAATTTAATAACTATAAAATGCAATAATGAATTATTGACACTATATATGATGAAATCGTGTGACACGCATTTATAATAACATATATCTATAAGATTGGGACAAAGTGATGCCAATTAATGGATCCAACTGAAGCTCATGGCACATGCACATGTAATATATATATATATATATATATCAATTCCCACCTTCTATCTTCAACATTTCCAAGAGCAAATCACTCCATGCATCAATAGGCCCAGGCAAGCACCAATGAACACAATCATTATACAAAGTCACATTCTCATGTGGCCAATGTCCATATCTACTTGGGTGACCATCTGGCCTCATCAGCATTGCTTGTGTCACGTCAAGAACCCTAAACTTCTTCTTCGTCATCTTCTTCTTTGCTTCTTCCTCTGCAACCCTGATCTCCTCCATCTGTATCACATAGAACCGCAAATCGTCCCCTTCTAACTTGACCTCACTTCTCTTAAATGGTTTTCTTCTCACACAATCCCCACCTTCGTTCCACAATCCGTTCTCAAAATGTGATGGTGCGAATGATCTCAGGATGGTCATGCCCTTGAAGTTTTCTAAGCTGTTTAGGGTTTTAAGTGCTGTTTTTAATGCCTTTCTGTAACCGAAGGACCTGGTTCTGCTGGTGATGTTGTTGATGAAGCAGTGGTAACATCCTATGATTTTTTGTTCCTCGTAGAATACCATGGGCTTGTCGAACCAGTGACCTCCATTGATGACTATATAGTCGAAGTGTGACACTTTCTTTGACCATTTTTCGTCGGGCTTGTCCACGTAAACGTGTAAGAGTTCATTAGGGTTTCGTTCTGCTTTGGATTTGACCAAATGGGTTGTCCAAAATGCAGCTACAGTGAAATTGTTACTTGGGTACTTCCATCTTCTGAAATAATCATCTTGTATTTCTGAGTCATCTTCAGGCCATTCAGCCTTCGGACAAAAAAAAAAAAGGAAAAAGAAACATTAATTTGAAAAATCAACATAACAATAATTGAATAAGTCTAACCACAAGTCAAATTAATTTCCAGTTTTATTTGACATGGACACCACAAATATTACAATATATAGTATTTTCATTTGAATATGTTAATTTAATATTTTTACATAAAATAATGAAAATATTTTAAAATTATGATTGAGTTTGATCTTAAATTCGAAATGAACATGAATTATTAGTAAAAATATATAGATCACCGTACAATATGATATTTTCTTATTTTTGGAAATGTTTTCTAAAACTCTATGAATTATATAATGCATAATAAAATTTATAGTAAATTTATATTATTCATAAGTTTATAAATAAAGTGACTTGGTTTATAATTTTCATATAATGCATAAGAAAAATAATAATAATGCCTAGTTTTTCAGTAAATATTCCAGCCACTTGCCCAGTGTTGACCCTTTAAACTCAGTTTATGTTTTTTAAGAGTGCTAAGTGTATGTCTCTATGCTTTAATTTCTGAGGATATAGTCTTGGCTTGCTTTAGGTATACTCATAAAAAACAACTTGTAATTAACCACTATTATCAAAAAGAAATTGGTTGGATTGTCAAAGACAAGTTGACAATGAAACATTTGAAACGTGACATCGTAACCAGTTATACTTTTTTTGGCCTTTAATGTACATTGAAGTCTTAAAAATGAAATATTTTTTGGAATGAGAGTTGATTTTTTTGGGCCAATAAGTGAAACACAGGTGTCCCTCTTTGTTCATAACACCTAGGTCGTCATCTAACGAGGAGGTCAAATGGTCAATCAAGTGAAAATAACTTCAACCATCTACCATTGACTAAGTCAACATTAATAACTTACAGAAGCTTGACTGTACTCATTACTCAAACCTCATGAGGACTAGCTGTCGTTGGATAATGCATACAAAATAGTTTTATCATAATGTCAAATATAGTTTATACTTTAAAGTGTAGGTAAACTTTGTCTATCATATTTTGGGATAAAAAATTAATTTTAATTGAAAGAACAGAGTAGAGACTTTATTATTAATATAAAAGCTCACATGCTATATTAAGTAACTAACTTTATCGCAATTTCTGATAGAAAATTTTAATGACTAGTCTGATCTTCGGTGGCAAAGTCCAAACATTTACTTCTCCCATTTAAAAATGTAAAGTATTTTTTGAGAAGTTAGAGTTAAAAAATGTAAGACATTTTTGGCCTTTCGAAGTGTAATCATTGCTTCTTTTTTTAAAGTGTCTTTGTTGATAATAATTTTATATTTATTATATGATGTTTAATAGGGATAAATATGAAAAGATAGAGTTAGTTTGAAAATAAGTAACTATTTTATTAGGGGGTGATATTCGATTAAAAATACCTTATATTTTTAAATAAAAGAAGTATATAATTAAAAAAGACGCAAGATATTATATTTCAATCATATATAAAGTATATTTAAAGCCTCACCATATCATACTATTTCTATTCTTCATATTTTCTAATTAAAGATAAAATTTCAAATTGGCAATACGGATTCAAATTTCTAAGTGAAACAAAAAGGGAAATGTTGTGTGATTCAAATAGGACAGAATACTCAAAATAAATAGAAGGGCTATAGCTTTAATATAGTATAATTTAATGAATAGCGTACCAGTGCCTTCACGCTGTACGATTGATTAAAAAAAAAAACAAAAAGCATGGATTGATTTTTCATGTGGAGGACAAAGTATGCACAATTTGATGTAGCTTTCCGAGGCAAAAAGATTCGATTCCTTAGCATACTTATATACTCAGACTCACAAACACACACACACGCATGTTACCGCCATCATTTACCTAACCCTTGAATTGCATGATGGTTTAGGTCAACTGACTTCTCTGGCTGCAGTTAAAATAACACAACCAGACAGGGAAATTGAACGGCTAATAATTCAGCCAACACACAATTTTGGGGCCTCTGGATAAGAATAGGGAGGGACTACTCGAAAACAGGAAAAGAACGAATAGACAGTTTTTTTTTTTTTTTTTGGCCAAAGAACTAATAGACAGTCGAGTATTGAAATGATACAGCGTCTTAATTCAAAATTTCAATAAATATTCAAATTTATGGGTTTTTTTTAATATATATTAGTAGAAGCTCAACTTTATTCAATGTTTTGACTTCCCATATCTATCCTAACAATATTAAAAAAAATCATGATTTTATCATAAGTTAGGTTCTTAAATTCACTAATCCTTTCAGCACTGAAAATATTTTTTTTTTTAAAAAACCCTGATTCGGTTTAAGATTAAGCGCGGTTCCTACTTGCATGTAATAAGGAAAAAAAAAGGGCATCCAATGCGAATGAATAATTAATTAATTACTTCACAAGATCTCAGTTTGTGTTTTTAAAAATTGAGGTACACATAGTCCTTTAGATTTGATATATATATATATATATTTATATTCTAAAAACTATATTTACTAGAATTTCTGAGGTGTTTTTTTCCAATTTCTTTCTATGTGATGATACATTGTGTAAAAAATAAGACTCATCATTTGTCATAAAAACTTAATATTAAAAAACCCAAAAATAATGGCACTCAAGTTTGACCTCTTCTTCCCCAATTCATGGATCCCTCAGGCAATTATAAACAGAAGAAATTGATGACATCAAGATGATGCATGAAGATGATGAAACAGAGAAGAAATATGTGAAAGAATGATCGATTAATTATTACTTACCCTAGAAAGGAGGCAAATGAGGGACTGCATCTGATTTCTGCCAACAGAGTCTCCAACAAAAGCCATGGATTTGCCTCTCATTATCTCCAGAAACTGAAAGGGATTGAATATGGGAAGCTCACAGTCATTTGGCTTCCACCTCCATTTCATGAACTCTGAGTCTGGTCTCCCATACTTGATGCAGTTTTGGTGCTCATGAATTGCCCAGCAACTTGTGTTTGTGTAGTATGGTGCCTCAGGATTTGGGACCCATTCACCACTGAAAATATCACACTTCTTTCTTGAAGATGAAGGCAAGAGTATTGAATCTGCAGCATTATTATTATTCAGGTTGTTGAATAATGTTGCAGATGATGATGATGGTGACTGTTCTGATGCAAACACGATTCTCTTGAGAGATCCAAAGAGGGGGAAACTCAGTGGCGTGACAGTGAATAGAAGAATGGCTAAGATGGAAAGTAGAGTTACTTTTGGGATAATTTGAGGGTTTGGGCTATTTTTCTTCCCCCAGAGAAGCTCAATGAAATTGAACTTCGTCATCTTGCCTGAGAATCAGAGATGGAGACTCATGAAAGGAAGCTTCAGTTTAGCATCCATATATTGTGTATTGTGATTTGTGATTCAGCTTAAAAAAGTTGTTACATTTATTATTATTATTATTATTATTATTATTATTATTATTATTATTATTATTATTATTATTATTCGTCAACACACACACCCTCTCTCTCTATGACCAACATAAAATAAAAGATTTAGTAAAGTATGAATCTATTGGATTAAAATCAATTAAACATTAAAAACAATAATAATTTCAGATATTTTTAAATAATTCTTATACAATATCTATAATATAAAATATAAATATTTGGCTCGCTTTACACTCATGATAAAACACAGGTCCTACCGTCTAACTAATTTATGGATTGTAATTTTAGTTGAAGGATAATTTTTATAATATATATTTATGAAAGTTTGGAATAAACTTAATTGAGTTTTTGTACAGAAAAGGAAACATTAAGAAATCATTTTCAAATATATATTTTAAAAAATAATATCATTCTCGAGATTGGGTTCCGTTTTAATTTTACAGAAGAGGTAAATATTAAAAAAAAATAGAAGAAAATATTTCATATTTTATACATCTTGGGAAAGGAGAGCATATAATTTAGTCAAATAAAATAAAATTCTGAAATACTAAATTCCGACATTTTTAAATGCGAAAGGATAGAAATTGGAAAAAGGTAACGCTATTTTATAAACAAATAAATTGAATAATACACTGTAAATGATCTATATATAGTCCATACTCCAGAATCTTCAGAGTTCAGACAGCTAAGACTATCCGATCTGTCAGCAAAAGCAAGCTGGTTATACTCATAATATCAAGATCTGTCGTGTGATTGAAGATAAGGACATGCACATATATACATCACGTATGACCTAAAAATTTAATTATAATGCGATGTTTATCACTCAACCAACGAACCCAAAATATACATACATACATACATAAATATATTCCAACAAATACATTATCTCGTGTATTCAGTTTCCTCATAATGAACCAATATAATGATTAGGTGGAATGATAAAGAGATTCATGTTTAACATTTTAATAAGCTTTGAGTTCAAATTCTGTGGATATATTAATTAGAAGAGATTTAAATTATAGAGCTTTACGATGCTCAAATATTAATTAATTGACATTTTAATAGATGGCTTTTGGAAAAGGGAAGGGGGGGGGGGGGAACAAATATCTTGGCATGTTAAATTTGCTAGATAGATAGACTTTCTTGTTTCTACACATTCCTCTTTCCCATAAGCATGTGAACATCAGATAGCTAAGCTGTGGCTGTGGTCCTGATTTCGTTTTCAACTTTTCATGGCATCCTCACATATCTCTCTCATTATTTGTGCCTTCTCTTTTAGTTATGCTCATATTATCTTTCAACATGTTGAGCCGTCTTTTTCAATAGAGAAGAAAGGGAGAAAGGGAAGTTCTTCAATTCCATTATTTTAAAAAATGAGATAATAATGGGCTCAATGATAATACTTTGAATCTAATTTAGTCGATCGAAATGGTCCGTTAAATTTCTTTCAGTTATCCCTTTTGGCGAAAATAAAAAAGTTTATATCAGTTATCAATTCAGTTTATGAGATTTAATCTTTATTAATCACATCTCTAAAATTTCACAACCATATAAAGTTTCCCGCCATGTGTGTTTAGGACTACTTTATGTCTCCAACTTAAATGTTAAATAATAATTTATCTTGCTCATGAGAATCTTTCGTTTACATCCGTTCTTGTAAACACCACATAAGGATTAGTTTACATGGTTATGAAATTTTAGGAATTTGATTGATAAAAATTAAATCTCAAAGACCAAATATATAATTGAGACAAATTTGGAGGATGAAAAGGTTTTATTATTTCTAAAAGTATTATAATTATTTCCAGTGCATTGTATGATAAAACATGTTGAGATAAAATTATTTAGTAGGATATCACGATTTTATTTTTTTAAAAAAAAATTCAAACATTATGCCACAAAAAACATGCAATCCAGTATACTATCTAAATATCTCAAATCCCAACATATATAGTTCTAAAGTCGAATGCATCACATTGGCTTCCCACCCAATTTATGATTATATAGATTGTTTTAATTAAACATAAATGATAAACAAAGTCAAACACGTTACTTTTAAACTTCCCTCTTTTGTATATTTAAACGTGTGTATGCGTATGTTTTGTTTTTTTTTTTAATTTTTTTTGAGTGAACAATCAAGCAAATAATTGGATATATCAAGGAAAAACGATGAATTATGACATATATAGTTGCCCAAATAGAGTTAAACACGGCGTCAATACAAAGACAATTACGGAGTATAGGATTAAATAATATAATCTCTAAGTGTTTGTCATTTTATATTTTCAAAACAAATAAGATGTTCCATGAGTCAGAGCTTTTATGGGTATCCGTGGATTAATATAAACATTACCCTAGGCCATAGTCACTTACTACTCCATTTTTATTTATAAAAAAAATATCACTTTTTATTTATTTTTTTATATAAACAAAATTATATGTTTTAATAAGTATTTATTACATATTTTTTAAATCCCCTCTCATAATTTATATTAATAAGAAATAATTAATATATACTTCTGTTGATTAACATAGGGTATTTTCAAACCGAATATGAAATATCACAGATTAGAAAATAACTTATAATCAAATATAGAGAGTGGCTTCTTACCGAACATATAGATATTTATGTTTGTTTGTTTTTTTGTTGGCAGGGTAAACTAACAACTATAACTTTGAGCAAATTATATTGCAAAAATCACTCTAAAATCCCATATAAGGAGTCTAAATATATAGAAAAGTCCTATAAAATTACAAAATTTCTTTAAAATACTATATCTCCTTCGTCAAAATTGTTAATTTGCTATATTGAAATTGTTACTTAATTATAATGGAATAGTTGTTAATGGATCGGAGTTCATTTGACAACTAAAAAGTTAATTAATAATTAATTTTTTAGCAGTAATTGACAACTTTGTTAATTTTGTAATTTCGTGAAATTTTTTTTATCTAAATTAATTCCTTGTGTTAGACTTTAGAGTAATTTTCCCTATTATATTTGATATGTACATAATCCCTCAATGTAAGTTATCTCATAGAAGAAATTGATGATCCTTTTTGTAAGTCACTCTGTATAAAAAGATGGATCATTAACTAATTTCCTTTAATTTTATCCTTTCACAATTTTCTTCTAACAAAATAAAATATGTTACATACGATTATATGAAAGAGAAGATATTTTTAAAGGTGATGCATTAAATTAGGATAAATAAAAAAAAATTTTCTTTTCATATAATATAAAAAATTAACCACTTCTCCTTGATTTTTGTGAGATAAATTTATCATTGTATTATTAATATGGATATGAGAACAGTTCTTCTCACTCTTTATAATGAACGGATTAACGACCAAAAAAGAAAGACATGTCATTTTTTTTTTACTTAGGGGAATAAATAATTGATTTATAAAAAATGATTAGAAATGTCTTAATTATAACTTGAGTTAGCAAGAATTAATTGGACAGGTGAAATTAAGTGTTTGGTGGTAAACGTAGCCAGCGTACCTAATGTCGTGTTTGATTTTCACTGTTTCACAACAAGAAAACAATGAATTATTTTAAAAATATTTTCTGAAAAAAGCCAGTGAGACAAATTTTAAAAGAAATTAAACTAAGACCAAAGTAAAGAGAGAAAGATTCTGGGCCAAATATGATATTTTGATCCAATTTTTATTTCTATTTGTGTAGTGTGGAACTTAATTGAAGAGGAAGGAGGAATTAACTATTGAGAGTATCAAATCACTGATCGTTGAAGACAACCAAATGAGGCATTTAAGTAACTTAATTAGACCAAGTCACAGCATTCATGAAGCTCGTCGGAGCAGATGGGGGGACCGTTTCCAACTCATTTGCAGGACGAAGAGATGAGATCTGTACCGTTCAGAGATTTAAAGTGTTACTTTATATTAATTTATTAAAATAAAAATTATAAAATAATTTTAATAGTTTTTTATTTTTAATTTGATATAGATTTAATTTAAAGGGTTTAATTTTATATTAAAATTTTTATAATTGATGCATATTGATTATACATATGTATTTTGCACACTGTATAGAGTGCATTTAAAAAATTTGAGATATTCAATTATAAAAAATTTAATATTAAATTAAACCTTTTAAATTAAATTTAAATAATATTAAAAATTAAAAAATTATTAAAATTATTTTAAAATTTTTATAATTATTGCTTAATAAATTAACATAAAATAATTTTTAAATTTAAATTATTTAAATTAAAAATGATCTCATCTCTTCTTAGAGATGAGTAGGGAAATGTTCCCGAGCAGATGGTACTGACCCACAGGCAAGCCACTGTGTGTTGCGTGTAAGAATAGATTCAAGGGAAAGCGACACTAATGAGAAAATGAAAATAAAGGCACTTCCGGACTCTGCAATATAATTTAAAAATTCAGAGATTAATAATCAGAGAAACGCACTAATTTTTAAAATTAAAGCTTAACAAATAAAAAAAGTTGGATTAATCACTCCTGTTTTGAGCTGCTATTACCGATCCCTCCAATTTATAAAAAGTCGATCGCCAAAACATTTTTTATACAGACCAATAAAGTCATTAAATATTTATATTTATTAAAATTAATTTATTACATTTCTAAAATATCCTTCACATAAGTTTTTTATCCAAAAAAGTAGTTCTTTTTTTAATGAAAAAATACAATTTGATTTCAATTCCAATATTAAATGTTAAAGGGTGCATTGATAAAGAGTAAAATAGTAAACAAAATATTTAATAATCAATTTTTTAAAAAATTTAATTTTATGATTAAAAAAGCAACTACACTCAGATAAAAATTAGGGTATAATGGGGAAAGAATTACTAAATGTCACATTGAATTTGTAAAAAGATATGTAAAATAAAACAAGAATTTTCTTAAAAGAAGCAATGGAGCGCTAACTTTTTCTTTTTGAAAATTAAGTGCCGACTTAGAGAATCACAGAGAA